GAAATGGTCAATATTATAGATACTTCACCATTCCGATATAGATCAGAAAAAGACCTGCAGCCAGTGACACATGTTGGGCAGATCACAGAGCCAGTCACCTCAGTCTCTGTACAGAGGAGCTTACACTCTAATGTCCCCCCACAGTCACACACTGTCATTATACATTTATATAGCTCTGACATATACCGCAGCACTGTACAGAGAAGCAGTTGCAGTACTGGCATTTTTCCACAAGGTGTCAGTGTTTAGCTCTATTCGTAGTGCATTTTGTTGGATACAAAGCTCAGTGAAGCCTTCTTAGAACACGAGGTATGTACAGATCTCTCTTCCATCCAAATCCCCAATATAAATGCTTTATTACTCATTTTAGAAGAGGAGGTGGAGCTATGCAAATCATTTTATGCGAACTGGACCAATTGTATGGTCTATAGTACAGATGCAGCCGGATATTATGGAGCCATTTATTCCAGGTTTGCTGGCCATCACCAGTGCCATGTATGGGTGCCACAGGAGGGCTTGGAGAGGTACAAGTGTAACCAGACAGGTTATGGTGAGGTCCCTAAAAAAGCCTCCTCTAAACCTGTTCAAAGCTCAGTGACACTTGTGTTCTTTGGGTTCCCCAAACACGTCTACTGTTACTGTGGCCAAACAACTCCATGTTTCATTCATCAGTCCTCAGCACATTGTTCCAGAAGGCCGGGTCTTTGTCCCTATGTTCATTGACAAGCTGCAGTTTTGCTCTAATGTTCTTTTTGGACAGCGAAGGCTTTTTCCCGGAACACCTCCCATGCAAGTATTTATTTCCTATGATCTTTAGTGCCATCTAGTGGCCACAATGCGGTATTACAAGATGACATTCGAAAATACATTCCAGTTATAAATTAAAGAACGTTTGTATTGTGCATCCATTCACACAGAAGGAACATTCACAGAGATTTGCTGGGCCAAGGGCTCTGTGAATCGTTTATAAATAGACAGTTATGGCAAATTATCAAATGCCATTGGTTCAAGTAAATCCCGTTTTACCTGTAACACTGTATGAATGAAGATCTCATTTTGTGTACTTACTTTTTTACATGTCCTAATTCCATTGCAAATCCAAACGCAAGAGGTTACTTCACTGGCAGAACTACCCGTGTGGACCGGGACCTAGCATT